AGGTGTAAGAGTTTATATGGGTGCTGGCATGTGTCTTGAAGACAGCACAGGCTTCTGACTTCAGATAAGCCCAGTGAGGTCACAGCTGGCTAACAGCAGCTCATGGATCTTTCTCGGAGGCTGAGAAAAATACAACCAGTAATTAAAGTCATGTTTTCCATTAATAACAACAACAACAAAAAACCCCACCAACAATGCAATTCCACATGCCTCGTTTCACAGAAAACTTTCCACATGAGAGGCAAATTTCATCACACAAAAAAGATGCCTCTTCATATCTAACTCACGCTAAGGGAACGTCTGGGGTTTACGGATCATGTAAATATTGCCATAAGCTTGGCTCCTCTTTTTGAATTTCTACATCGGCCACCTGGAACATTTGACAAACCAGAGGCTGAGCTCGAAGTATGGAACATCTTAGCAAAATCAGCCTAAGAGCTGGTGAACTTCAAGATGACTATCAGCTGCGAAGGGGCTGCAGAAATTGACCCACCGACCGACCAACCAACCAACCAGAATATTGGACTCTGTGGTGCCTCAGGGTTAAGCACAGTTAGTTAGCTACTTGTTTCTTAAGTCTGAACTTTATCCAGCTGGACATTTGGGGCACTAGGGCAATTGTGGCCCATCAGAAGGAGCACTGGATTCAGAGTCAAAAGAGGGGGGCTCCTGGTTCTGGCTCTGCAACCAGCCAGGCTGAATGAGGCTTAGAGTGTGTCACTTAACTTTTCTTCCCGTCAGCCTCCGAGTGTGAGACAGGAGGGGAGTGAGGGTGATACTGGGTGTTCTTAGGCTATTGTGAGCAGAGAATGAGATAAAGTGGGTCAAAGTGCTTTGGGGCGTTTAAAACATTGCACACATGTAAGGGATTTGTGTCATGGGAGGGTTAGGGAATCCCCTTCCTTTTCTAGGATGGGAAGGGAAGATATGGAAAATCCATGCCTGTTTTATGTGTAAGAAAGGATTAGAATCCTATTTTATATTACTGAGGAGGCAAAATGGAGTCTTATGACAAGAATGTTGGATGTGTTGTCATCCTTATTAGAAAATTAGCACAAGGCTTAAGCATCGAGTAATGTGACTGCTTTTTAAATAAACATACCTAAATGGGTGGTGTCCTATCCTGAGTGGTGAATAGTCACCTGGACAGGGGAATCACTTACTTAAATTGTATTTTCCGTCATTCAAAAAAAAATTTTTTTTCACTCCTCTTTTGGAATTGTTCCTAGAGCCTCTGGCATATTCTTTTGAATATGTCTGAGGGTGACAAATAGCATTTTATAAATAGCCTAAAGTTATTTGGCATGAAGTTTGGTAAATGAGCTAAATAATACCATTTCTTTAATTGTAAAAAAGCTGCAACTATAAGATAGGAAGCCTATCTTTCAGCTTCAACAGAAGAGTGGCAAGTGGTTAGTTTCAAGAATTGCCAGTATTGCTGGAAAGGGCTTGTATCCTTCCCGAAGTGACCACGTCAGAGAAGAGAAGCCGCTGGGAAATGTGTTGTACATTTTTAGTCACACCTTCACTATTTATCTTGCAAGACTGCCACCAGACATTGGGTTTCCAGAAAGAATAGAGCATAACACCTAATCAACCATTCGATCATTTTATCACAGCTCCTCAGGGCATTTGAATCCCTCATTTGCATGTGGATCAACTGGCTAGCAACAAGACAGATGTTTCCAAAAAATTAACATCTGGCTCTACTAGAAATAGAACCTCCAGCAGATTCAGTTCTAACCAGTAGACTCTGTACTCCCTTAAAAAGTTTGGATTTTTTTTTTTCAGTTATGAACAATCTATCTGGAAATTAAAATATCATTAATTTCATTACACTGTAACCTGAAGCAGCTGCTAGAGTAGATTTGCTTTTGGTGTAGATAACTTACGTTGTCATTTTAAAGTAAACACAATCAGGGCGCCTGGGTGGCTCAGTCTAAGCGGCTGCCTTCGGCTCAGGTCATGATCCCAGGGTCCTGGGATCGAGTCCCGCTTTGCACTTCCTGCTCAGCAGGAAGCCTGCTTCTCCCTCTCCCTCTGCCTGCCTCTCTGCCTACTTGTGCTCTCTATCTCTCTGCAAATAAATAAAGAAAATCTAAAAAAATAAACACAATCACATGTTCATTCATTGGTTATTGGACACTTGTGGGTGCTTCACTGTTAAATGATTTATAGAAAATACTATTTTCCCCACCTTATTTTTTTTTATTGTGGTAAAATTCATATAACATCAAATTCATCATTTGACCACTTTAAAGTGTACAATTCAGGGCATTTAGTACATTCACAATGTTCTGCAACCATCACAATGTCTAGTTCCTAAACATTTTCATCACCCCACAAGGAAACCTTGTGCCCATAAGCAGTCACTCCCTGTTCTTCCCTCCTTCTAGCTCCTGGCAGCTACAAATTTGCTGTTACTATGGGTTTGTCTGTTTTGGACATTTCCTATAAATGGAATCTTACAATATGTGGCCTTTTGTGACTGGCTTCTTCCACTTAGCATAATGTCTTCAGGTTTCGTCCATATTATAACATCTGTCCATCAGTATTTCATTTCTTTTTATGGCTGAATAATTCCATTGTATGGATATACTACATTTTGTTTATCCATTCATCCACTGATGGATACATGGGGTGTTTTCATCTTCTCGCTATTCTGAATGGTACTGCCATGAACATGGGTATACAATTTTTGGTCTGAATACCTGTTTTCAACTATTTTTGATATATACCTAGGAGTAGAATTGCTGGCTCATATGGCAGTTCTACGTTTAACTTTCTGAGGAACCCCCAAACCTCTAACTCACTTTTATGCTTATAACTTCAAGGTGGCTTGGATTAACAGACAGAAGCAGCTGGACCGCTCTAGCCAAACCTCAGGCTGGGTCCAAAGGTGTCTATTTTTCAGAAACACCGACTAGAGCAGCTAGGCTTGATCTGAGCCAACCTTGTTCCAACACAGGGTTACAGGCAGGGCTCTGAAGAGTTTTCTCTGCTGCTCTGCATGTCACAACATGAACCGGCTGGGCAGGAATACCTTCCTGCTTCCTAGGCACCCTTGGTTCTCCACTATGCTGCACTTTTGGAAAAAGGAAAAAAAAATATGTTCACTACCTAACTTAAAGGCTTCCCTCCTGATTGTGCAGAAGAGTTCAGATCAGCATCTGGAGTCCCTGTAGAAATGGCGCATAGGTGGGCCAAACCCGCTCCCCTGTTGAGGGCACAGGTTGGAGAACAGGGCCTCCTGAACACAACTGAGACTCTAAAGAGATTTTCCCTCCAGGGTCAGACTTTTACCATCCATTTTGAGTGAAGGCACCACCCCGCGATTCTGACCCTATCAATCCATAGATACTGGAGTTTTACCTACCCTACTTTGTGTATTGTAGATTGTCCACCCTCTGGGCTTGGCCAGGATAACAGGAGATAATCCTACTATAGCCATTGTTTATTGCAGCCTAGGTACTGAGTCATGAGGCTTCTCAGCCATTAAGCCAACCTGACAGTAGACTGGCACTGATTTTATTTTTTTTAAGATTTTATTTATTTGAGAGAGAGAATGAGAGAGAGCACATGAGAGGGGGTAGGGTCAGAGGGAGAAGCAGACTCCCTGCTGAGCAGGGAGCCCGATACGGGACTTGATCCTGGGACTCCAGGATCATGACCTGAGTGGAAGGCAGTCGCTTAACCAACTGAGCCACCCAGGCGCCCGGCACTGATTTTTTTAATTTAAACCTGCCATGGGCCAACTCAGAGTGCTGACCTCTTACCTCAACTCCCCAACACATAGGTAGCTTCCAGCCACAGAGGCCCAGATCAAGCAGCACTACCATTGCACTGCCCAGAAGAGAGACAAACCAAACCAGCTGTTTCCACTTACAACTAAATACTGAGAATAAAAAAGTTGGCTTCTGGGGCCCTTGCTACGTAGGTTACCAACGCAGCTGTCACTTGTCGCTTGTCCCCTAGCAGCCCTTTCAGGTATCCCGGCCTGAATCTGCTCTTAGGACAGAAAAAAGTCCCTTGGCTGTTCATATCCTCTGTAATCTGGCAGGAAACCGAAAATTTGCCTGCTCCGGTCCTCGGTCTGTTTGCTTATCTGCTTCCTCGTAGGGAAGAGTCAGCTTCACAGTGTCCGGTTTACGGGGATTTTCACCATGACCTCACCCTCCACAGCCACCATCCATCCACTGACTTCAGTGCGACAACTCGGGTGGGAATCCACATGAATGAGACATTAACAACCCCTCCTAGCACGTCTCAGATTAACATCAACTCCAATTTCCTCCCCTGAAAGGAGAGTCTTTTGCAGGGTCTGGGAATGCCAAAAAGAGTTGGGGGCGGAGGACTGATGATGTGGGTATCACTCCGGGCTTGGGAGAGCAGGATGTCAAAGACACCACCTAAGAAAATGCACTAAAACTTTCCAGACTCGCGCCCGCGGTCTGAATAACGCTTGAGCCAAGGGCCTCGAAATTAGGCGCGCGAACGGTGACAGCAGGCGGCGGGCACGTCACCCACGAGTAAGAGCGTTGAGAGCGGTAGAAGAGCCCAAAGGGCAGTGTCTTGGATCTGTGGTCTCGGGCCTCCAGGGCTCCGGGAAGTAGTCTTCTGCCCGTCAGTGGGAGCAGCTAATTAAAGGGAAACAGAAAGTCCGGCGGTTCCGCCGGCGCGCGCCCACACCGGCCGGAGACCACGTGACCATTCCCAGCAGCGCCCCCACCCCCACCCCCCGCCCTCCGCCCCGCGCGCGCGCGCGCCGGGCGGCGGCCGCCGGCGCCCGGACTAGAGCGTGACTCGTGGAGGCCGGGGAGGCTGGAGAGCGGCCGCGGCGTGCGTGCGCGTTCCCGGGAAGCGGCGGGCGCGCGCACGCCCGGGGGCCACCGCCCCTCCTGGGCCCGCCCTCCTTCCCTCCCTCCCCGGCTCGCCCGGCCCGCCCTGCGAGTCACCTCTCTGGTTCCCTCCCTCCGCGGGCGCGCTCAGGCCGCCGCAGCGCTCCCCGCCCTCGAGCCTCGTTGCAGGAGCCGCCCGCCGCCCGAGGAGGAGGTGGAGGGAGCCGGAGGGGCCCGCCGAGGCGGCGGCGGCGGCGGCAAGATGGCGGACTTCCTGCCGTCGCGGTCCGTGCTGTCCGTGTGCTTCCCCGGCTGCGTGCTGACGAGCGGCGAGGCCGAACAGCAGCGCAAGTCCAAGGAGATAGACAAATGCCTGTCCCGGGAGAAGACCTACGTGAAGCGGCTCGTGAAGATCCTGCTGCTGGGCGCGGGCGAGAGCGGCAAGTCCACCTTCCTGAAGCAGATGCGGATCATCCACGGGCAGGACTTCGACCAGCGCGCGCGCGAGGAGTTCCGCCCCACCATCTACAGCAACGTGATTAAAGGTGCCGGGCGGGGGTCGCAGTGGAGATCGCGGGCCCGAGCCGGGGCGGGGGGGGAGGGCGGAGGCGGCCGGCGCGGGGCCGGGCACCGCCCTCGTTCGCTCCTGTCCCTGGCAGAGGACCGGGCCCGGCGGGCGGGCGGGCGCGAAGGGGGCGCGCCCCGGGCGGCGGTCCTGCTTGCGCGGGGTGCCCTCTCCCCCTAGGAGAAAGGATGCCCGGGGGCGCCCCACTTTTCCCCTTGCCGTTTGAGTGGGGGTCAGGGCTGGCCCCTCATAGCCCGCGTCGCCACTGGCCTCGTCCCCTCCGAGAGGGAAGTGAGGCGAGCCGGGCTTCTCGGGGTGCTTGGTGACCGCGCCTGCCTTCCTCCAGACGAGGCTAGAAGACCTGAGAGCCAATCCTGGACCCACACCCCCATCCGCCGCCCCGGCGCTGCCTTCCCAACCTCGCCGCCCCGGGTGGGTGACCCGAGTCACATGGGGTCGGGGCTGCTCCCAACTCCCTGCTTCTTTGGCCGCCTCCTAAGCAAGGGAGTTCTGGAACCGTCTCAGTAAGGAAACTTTTGCCTGAGACTTGTCAAGGGCGAAGGGTGACAGTTCCTGGGCCCTTTTGGGCAAAGATATGCAACTTCAGGGAGTCCTGTGTACTGTGCTGGCATCAGGAAAGAGTAGACCCATACAGTTGGTCTGAAAAAATTAGCATCAGTGGTTTTTTTGCCCCATTGTCACAGTTGGGCAGGATGTTTTGCCTATAATCACTATGCAACACGTTCCTCTCCTTTTGGCTTAATTACTGGGGTGGGGGGGTACCACCACTTGCTCTACTATTTAAATGAAATCGTGTGTTGGTATGAAGAATCTTTGGCCTAAAAAGTGATGCGGAGCCTGTACAGGTTGAGTCAGTGAATCACTGTTGGCTTGGATCGCAGGCTCTGCTTCTACCTGACGGTGTTTTTTAAAATTAAACTGTTTGTAAGTAAAAAATACAAAAATAATTTTATTTCTGGGCTTTCAGAGAATTGGAGGAGATGGGACTTATTTCAGTGACAATTACGTTCATTTTTCTTAGTATCAAACGTTTTCTAGTTTATAAAAGGCATTTTGACAAATTTGAGTTAACAGAGCCTGGTACTTCAGGTGCATCAGGAAACCACCATCTGGGTAGCAGTTGTCCAGGGGCTTGCTACAGATTTCAGCAGATTTGCAAGCAGGGTTTCTTTAACGGGGATTTTTTTGTCCAGGAAGTTCTTGAGCAATTCCTTCGCATCACTTTTTTTTGCTCCCAGGATTGAGTTGAGGAAAAGTACCCCGCCCCAGGGGTGGGGGTCCTGGGGTAATGAGGGGAGAAGAGCATTAGGCCAGGAGCTCACAGATCACAGCCAACCAGCTCTGAGCCCTGGCACTGCTGCAGTTAAGCTGTATAAAACAGTTGTATTTATCCCATCTTACTGTTTAGCACAAAACTAATTAAGGTCTCTTTTAAGGCTTAGGGCTCCGCCTTGCCAGTCCTTAATTGAAGGTACCTTTGTATCCTGATGCAGCTGAACTTAACGAATTATGTCAATGAATAGAGTCAGCATGTTAACTGATTATGAGCCAGGTAAACACCTGGTCCTTATTGTGCACTGTGTCCTAAGTGTGACCTACTTTGAACACTGGTTATAAGATGAAATAAGTCACTAGACATCTATCTATTTGAGTTGGCATGATCAGAAGATTGACAGCAAAACATCCAGACAATCACCTGAATAGTCATGTAACTGTTAATTAAGATGGACCAAAGGTAACAGTTTAGTGATTAGAGATCCTGGGTTTGAATTAATCTCTGTGAGGTGAATTCTCTGTTTCTATATATATTTTGCAGTTGCTCTTCCTCCCTGTTAGGGAAATCTAAGGCTTTCCTGTGACTTACACTGATTTGAAGCTTGGTTTGGGAGTTTTTGAGTTTTGAATGTGTTCCTAGAATACTTGGTGTTGGGGCGCCTGGGTGGCTTAGTCGGTTAAGTCTCTGACTCGTGATTTTCTCGGCTCAGGTCATGATCTTGGGGTTGTGAGATCCAGCCCTGAGTCAGGCTCCACATTCAGCTTGGAGTCTGCTTGGGATTCTCCCCCGGTCCTTGCCCCTCTACTGCCTTGTGTGATCTCTCTCAAATAAATAAAATCTTAAAAAAAAAAACCACTCGGTGTTGGGGTAAGGCCGGGTGCTCAGGGAACAAACGAACTCAGAGTGATAATGTTTGACTCTTGGCATTTCATAAATGTCTCTTTGAGGGACTCAGAAGATCTTAGCTACAACTGTTTTTCCAGGGCCTGGACATTGGCCTGTGTAGCATGATTTTTTTTTCCTTCACTGGTTTTGGTTCTCTTGTGACTACCTTCTATTAAAAGTTTACAGAAAGTTATTTTATACATTAGAACATGTTAAAATTCTTCAGAAAGAGCAATTGTGTTAATAATATTTGCTTTTCAAGGCTCTAATTTTATGACTGTGAACAAGTGTTCATTTTTTTAAGCTCTGAGAAGTTATGGGTGTTTGTTTCTATGTTGGTCTCCAGTTTTGGTGGAGTTGGGCCTGGAGTAGTTCAGAAGCTTCAGAAAATAATTCGGGAATAGAATCAATGAGAATATCTAATGACTCCTAGCACACCTTTCTCTTTCTTTTTAAACAAAGGTATGAGGGTGCTGGTAGATGCTCGAGAGAAGCTTCATATTCCGTGGGGAGATAACTCAAACCAAGTCAACGGAGACAAGATGATGGCGTTTGACACCCGGTCCCCCATGGCGTCCCAAGGAATGGTGGAAACTCGAGTTTTTTTGCAATATCTCCCTGTTATAAGAGCATTATGGGCAGACAGTGGTATACAGAATGCCTATGACCGGCGTCGAGAATTTCAACTGGTAAGAGATTTGTTCTTTTACATTGTTGTCATTTTATTTTAAGGACATTTTCCGGTAGCTGATTCTAACATACCTTTTTTCATTGACTTACGCATTAAAATGTATCTATCCAGCATTTTAGCCTCAGAAATTTGGATTGTTATATAGATGAGCTTCTTACTGAAGCAAGATAAAAAATAAGGTAAACCCCTTAGATTTGGTGAAACAGTTACGTTTAATTGGTCATTTTTCCTTTTTGTAAGTAAGATGATAGTGATTTTCTTAGGTACTTTCTCCTAATTTTATTCTACTTTTGAAAATAATTTCCTCTCAGTTGCAGCAACGATATTCATCCTTCTAAAAAATTGATCTTTTACTCTCAGGCTGAGAGCTCAGTAACTGCACCTAGTTCAGATGTGTCATTTATATAGTCTTTTGAGGTACTCATTTTATGATACAGATTAATTTATAAAGAGATTAAAGTCCTTGATAACATTAAGTCATTCTTGCATTCTCTGTGTGTGTTTTTCTAAGGTTTCTAAGCCTATTTTAGAAAACGTTTCTTTAAAAACAAAATAATCTTAGACTAACAAAATTTGTAGCCATTACACAGCACTGTAGAGAAGGTGGGAACAAAAGGATCTGATCTAGGTTAAAGATACACAAATAATGATTGAAATCGGTTTTTTTAAATCAAGTGTTTTGCGTGAATGCTTTGATTGTATTCTGGGTTTCTTTTTGCTGAAGACCGGAAAGATCCCAGGAATGATAACAATCTAGACTGTATGCAATTTGGAGGTAGTTCAGTTTTGAAGTGTTTTACTGTAATATGATCCCAAAAAAGTGACAGTTGAAAGTAAAACTGCTTAGAAAGTTGTTTGATGTCACTGGCATTAAAGTGATCCACATTTATGGGTGTGGCTACAAAAAGGTACACAGCCAGCAGTCTTTGCTATTACAGTTTGTACTCAGAAACAGTCTTGGCTATTCAGAGTTGTAGAAACGTGTTCGTGACAGCTTTTTATAAAGCTGATTTTGAATCTTTACTTTGAATTATGGCTCTGACGGGCACCATACAAACGTAGCACTTGATTACATACTGTCTTGTATAGTTCTCCTCTTTGGTGTGTGTATCTTGTCAAGTAATTTGTCCATTAATGAAAGGCAAAGACTATCTCATGTTACTATTAAAATCAAGTTGCTGGGGTGCCTGGGTGGCTCAGTTGGTTAAGCGACTGCCTTCGGCTCAGGTCATGATCCTGGAGTCCTGGGATCGAGTCCTGCATCGGGCTCCCTGCTCAGCGGAGGGTCTGCTTCTCCCTCTGACCCTCCCCTGCCATGCTCTTTCTCTCTCATTCTCTCTGTCTCAAATAAATACATAAAATCTTAAAAAAAAAAAGACTTCAAAATCGAGTTGCTGGCAGCATTATATTTTCACAATCAGGAATTTAACTTGACAAGTGACCTCCGTCCAATTCTCAGACTTCTGGTTGATTTTTGTCCTTTGGTCAGTATTTCTTATTTTATAGCTGATAGTTCCTCCACACACCGCTTCTTGTCTCTCGTCACCCTCCCTCTTGTTTTTAAGTGCTGCTTATTCTCCTTTCTTCTTAATTCATTTTCTTGACAAACCACACTTTCCACTCTAAGGTTTCTCAGGACGTTATTCATCCTTCCAGGTCGGGGGAGGAACATCCATCTGCAAAAGCATATGGTTCATATTGATTGGATGAATAAATAAACAGCTGTACTCTAAAGGTTTCTGTAGGAAAGTTCTATAAGTCCATTTAATTGAAGTTGGGCCTCACTGACACTTGAATTTGGACATTTACATCCTAACAGTTTTGTATCAAGACTGTCATGTCATCGGAGTGAAGAAAGCATTCCTAAGTATTTGCCGTTAAGAACAAATAGCCAAAACCAGAGTGAGGACTGGCATGTTGTTGACTTGACGCAGCTGATGCTTCAGGAGCAGAGGTTTTGAGCACAAGGAGTTCCAGAAATACTTTTCCTCATAAAAAGTAGGGGCAGAAAAAAAGAGGAACAGGGAGAGATGTAATTTTAAACTCCTGGAGGACAGGAATTTTTTTCCTGTGTGTATCCTTGGCATTGTTAATGGTGCCTGTCACATACAGAAGGAGTTCAGGTGTTACAATGAATTAATGACTCCGTGCTTTTGGATGCTGTGTGGGCTTGGCACAGGGTTAGACACTGAGAAGGCACCCAGCTCATTTCAAATTTTCCTCGCGGTCCTCTTCAGTTCCTTTTCTTCTCTACACGCGGCGAATTCCCAAGTCCTGTCTTTCCCACCCTTGACAAATCTCTCGCATCCACTGCCTCCTTCCCCCCTGTCCATTAATGTCTTAGTAGCTCTTGCTTGGACTCCCAGGTAATCTTGTTCAAACACCACATGGGTTTGTTCAGAAAGCTGTGCTTATTCTCCATTACCTCCAGAACAGAGTTCAGCCTCTTTATTTGAGTCCAGACTACCTAGCTTACCTACAATTCCAATAATGTATTCATTAGACTACTTCACACACCCAGTAGCCTCTCAGTTTCCACATACCCTGATTCTCTGCTTCTGTGGCTGTCTTTAGAGGGTCTTTCTGTCAGGGTTTTTCATTACTGTATTCAGTAGGTCCTATCCTTACCTTAGAAGAACGGGAATCACATTTCAGTGTGACTAAATGTGGTCCATGGACCCCTTGCATCAGATTCACTGGAATGCTTGTTTAATACAAAACAAAACAAGCGGAGTTCCAGACTCTCATCACAAGAGGATCTGAATCAGGAATCTGGGATGGGGCCCAGTGCTGTGTATTTGTACCAGATAGTCATCGATGATTTGGATGAATTTGCTCCTCGGCCCCCGGAGGGACAGTGCCTTAGGGTCGAGCTTTCTCCAGCTCTCCTGGCTGGAATGTGGCTCCCTGCCTGTGCCCTCCTTGCTGGGCTTGCTTCTGGCCCTCCTTTGGTTGCCTGTACTCCACTTGTTTGTACTTGTGTTTGGTTCTCCCACTAAAGTAGAAGCTCCGTTGGTATGCCTTGTTTGTCTTTTTCTTGCTCACTAGCATAAGCCTGACACTTATTTTATTTCCTCATTTTTTAGACACTCTGAATTAAAAGGTTCTTCTAGAAAAAAAGGAACATCCCACATTAAGTGTCTTCTGGGAAATAGGAATCATTTCTGTGTGCTAGTTTGTTAATTTTCTAGGAGATGGGAAGTCCTTGTATTACAGTCATAATTTTTCTTTTTATGTTTAATAGTGTATATTCTTGAATCTTGGATAGAAAAAGTAAAACCATCAGGGGGAAAGGGAAGAGTTAGCAGATAAATAAAATTCGTTGTTTTTTGTTTCAACTAACGGTTATTAACTTTATTAATGCAAGTTGAAATGCAAAAAAAAAACAAAAAACCAAATGGGAACAGTTTTTAAGCCTTTTTATGGCTTTTTTTTGTTTAAGATGAACAACTGTCTTATAATCAGTCCTTGGGGCAAAAGGGATAGGGTAGGTATCAATCACAGCTTAGGTTTTTAGCGAGCCATTCATTTGTTAGTAATAACTTCGCGTACAAACATGAATGTTTTCTTTTCCAAGTTCCCAAAGGCAAACATTTCCTTTTCTGGTTAGTTTCATTATGGGTAAGCTAAATAGTTTACTGTGGAAAAAGAAAAATCTAAGATTTACATTGCTCTTCTAGCTTTTAAGGTACCTTTCTAATTCTTGTAAACAAGCTCACAGGATAATACATACTCAGAAGCGGTCTCTTTTAGTACTGGATTAAATATTTGTGATGCTGAGCTTTGGCTGTACGTACATTCACTATGGCCTGCCACTGCACAAATGAGACACCCTCTCTGAAAAAACTTGTGTGACTATGGTTGGGGAATTTGGTAACTTAGATGACTAGAGATGGGAGTCAGGGCTTGGCTGGAAAGTGATATAACTGCAGATACAGAGCAAAACGAACAAAATGGCCAGGAATCATTGTCAGTTAATTTTTTGGGATGTTTAATATACAGTTACTTATTCAGAAAAAGAAGCAACGTTAACAGGACTGGTTAAATAGGATAGGAAAGTTTGTGACTGGGAGGGACACTCCAGAGCTTCCTAGTTTCTATAAACACTTTAACTTGTCAGCATTAATACAACTTCCTGTAATGACCAGTCTTTCTTTGCAATGCCTGAAACCAAAGTTATTTTCATTGTTACCGTGGTACCTTCAGTTAGATTTAATTTTTCTTATTCAAGTAGTACAGTTTGTGCTGGATGATGGCTACACTTCTCCAAGCTGAGGTAGTTTATCCATTAAGACAGAGATGCTCTCAGTCTGGGCAACAGAGTAACTATTTAGCCTCATTCATTGACCTATAAAGAGCTGAGCACTAAGTAAAGTAGGAACTTCAGTGTGGACTGAAATATTTATTTCTTTATTTGTCCTGCAAAATAGATTTGAAATGCTATAGAATTAGAGGCATTGGTTTATTCTTTAACTCTAATTTGGATTGGCTTTAAAAAAACGAATCAATTACTACTTTCAGTGGCAAAATATGATGTTTCTGTTGGAGAAGGAATTGGTCTATTTTCTCTGTGAATAAAACCAGAATAGGACTTTGACTTCAAGTTGCAAAAAACCTATTGTCTCCTGATTCTAGGGTTATGATAAAACAGTGAGCATATATAACAAAAAGATAACTGCAGAGATTTTAAAATTTAGGTCTCTACAGATCGAATTGCCTTTTGGTGAATTTGATCAGATGAAAGTGGTTCCGTTTTATCCAAATCTTAGAAACCCAGAGCTATAGCAGTGTACATTAAAAACAGAGAGGATGCTTTGGCATGTGCTTACGGTTTTAATACAACTTTGTGATATTGTGTGTGTGTGTGTGTGTGTGTGCGTGCATTTACATGGGTATGTATTTCTTGGTGTATTATGTCGGTGTGTTTGTGTTTATATCTTTTTTATTTTATTTTTTTGGTGAAAGCTTAACTAGCTATGGGATGTCTGGGCTCTAGGT